TCCCAGGAGATATGTGAACATCCTTCGTGCTCTATACCCGAAAACTACAGGCCGCGTCAGAGTCTACGGTGTCCTATCAGATAGCTTTCCAACCACAAGTAACGTTCGTCAGGGTTGTCCGATTTCTCCATTTGTGTTCAATTTCGTCGTGGATACTATCATGGAGTGTTCCCTTGCGGAATCTCACGAGGTAAGCGTTAAAGTGCTGCCTGGTGAAAGGTTAGTTGACCTAGATTGTGCGGACGATATCGTCTTGCTTTTCGACAATGTTGGGGCGGCACAATCAACCCTGAATAGCCTGTCCAGAGTGGTTCCATTATTTGGTATGCACTTCGCACCTTCAAAGTGCAAAGTGTTGCTGCAGGACCACCAGCCACTTGATGACCCCTTGACGCTTGCTAACGAGGAACTGGAGGTGATTGATCAATTCACTTATCTTGGTAGCTGCAACAGCAACGATGGGCGCATAGAAACTGACGTCAGCCTACGCATTGCATAGGCCAGAGCTGTCTTCTTGAACCTGCGGCATTTTTGGCGACAAAAGGGAGTTTTCATTCGTCTGAAAGGCCGGGTATACAAGGCCACAGTGAGGGCCGTTCTGCTCTATGGTAGTGAGACTTGCCTCCGGTCTGAAGATCTGAGGCGCCTTCAAGTCTTTGATCATCGTTGTCTGCGAAACATTGTCGGAGTTGGATGGCACCTGCGTGTTCGCAACGATGATGTTCGTAGGCGAGTACTAGGTGGTGATAATCATGCTAGCTCTCTAGAACAACATATAGCACTAAATAAGTTTCGTTGGCTCGGGCACGTGCTACGTATGCCCTGTCACGGCTTACCTGGGAGGGCCTTATTCATTCTACCAGGTGAAGGGTGGCGCACGGCTCGCGGTGGACAGAAGTTGACTTGGCAGCGGGAAATGAAGTCACTGACGACTAAACTGGGTGCCGTTTGTCCGTCTCACCTTCCGGGTTGGAGTCCACGTGACTCGCCTTGTGTTTGGCTCGAGACTTTACAAGACATGGCTCGCAACCGACACCAGTGGCGCGTCTGCTGCCATCTCCTAATCGGATTGCCTGTTTAAAGTGTGTTTTGTGCTACGGTATCTGCGGGGTAATGGCTGATTATGACGCGTGGCAGCGAAAGCCGCAAGGAAGCTGTCTCGCCGATGCCGCCTTGTCTTTGCAGGATAGGCAGCTGTTTGTGACGGTATGTTGTCTACACAAGGTGTAGTCGCCTTGATCCTGAATGTTTGCTTAGGGCATTAAGGTTTTCAGGTAAGTCCCCCTTTTCTCCCTTTTATTCTATATTTCATAGGTCCTCATGGTTGTATGGCAGCGAAGCATCAGTTCAAATGTTTGATGTGCTATTGATGATGATGATAGGGAACGTATCGCGCCCGGATAAGATGTAGTGAAGCGGCAATATGCTGCTACCGCGCAGGACTCAGCGACTTGATTCCGCGTATGTGCCCGATTCACCTACGATGGAGCACCACAGATTTTATCTCGCTCTCTATTCTCAGTATTCAGTTGTTGCAGGCTAAGCCATGGCCAGTTAGTTTAGATAGTCCATCGGAAGCTGAGGTCCGAAAAGCGATCTGGGCCCTAAATCGTTTTCGTCCTGCACTTATATCTGATTTTATTACTTTCTCCTCCCATAAACATTCTGCATATTCTCCCAACGAAATATCGAATTTCATGCTCAAGAGTTTGACAGTCCAGTCCATCGACTAATTGCTTCACAGTCGCTTATGGTCTTCTGTTTATTTCATTGTACGGTTTAGCCGTTCTCAGTAGAACATTCAACCAAATGAACAGTATCAGAGGAACTTGCGGGATATTTTTAAACAACTTCCAGTCGGATAACCCAACCACAATCAGATGTTTTTCACGAGTACTCATTTTACCTGTCTGGCTTCAGTGGCTTTTCCGGATCATGGAGCTCCACCATATAGAGAAGTGGCTATTGACCCGGACACTTTCTTGCCAAACTTCACTCATCCATCAACCAGTGCATCACTTTTTATCAGTTGAGCACACCACCCCAACTACCTCTTGCTCTGTATGTTTCATCTCTCGGTGGTTTGACATTCATAGTGACACAGTCTCGTAGTTTTAGTTAGTTCGCACACAACTTTCAGATACATAGCTCCGCATGACTATTTGAATCCACCGCAGGTCACTTATTTCTGGTTGTCTTTGCTATGTCCCCCCAAGAGTGAACCCAGTTTGGCACCTGTTAACTACCATCTAGTAGCACCCCAACTTTATCACCAATTGCTGCTCCAGGATTGGCGCGCACCCGTTCCCTCGCTCACCATCAAACGTGCACAGGTCGAACAGGTAGGTAGTTTCATCTACCTTGAGAACTGTTTCTGCTAGTGACATTCTCGGAAAAGAAGTTTCCGCCTCGCTGAATCTGGTCAGCTTTTGTCAATCTGAGGCACATGTGCCATACTCGTGGCTTCCCTGTCTCCGTAAAATACCGGGTTTACAGTATATACATCCGTCCAAGGTTGTTGTGTGAGAGGTAGTCTTGGCCAGTTTGTGTGGAATATATGCACCGTCTTTCTACCTTCAACATTGGTTGTTTGAGAAGGATCGCCCGTGTCTGACAGCAACATCTAGTTCACGATGGTAGTGGTGTTGGACGTCGTGTCCTGAAGAATGCGAGTATTCTCTTCAAGAAGCTGGTTTCGCTGCGCCAGTTAAGGTGTATCGACCAAGTCCTACGCATGACACGTCAAGCACATACAGCCGTGTGTGGCTCAGCCAAGTTGATCTGCTAAGTCATCAACGTGGCCTCGAGTGGCTGCTGACGAAGGGGCAACGAGTAAGTTACATAGGTAGGTACCATCGCTTTTAAAGTACACTGCTTCTGATTCCATTTACTTACCTAGGCCAGTGATGAGGTAGATGCGGCACGTGTGCTGCATCGTCGTTGCCGTTGGTTCGTATGTTTTCGTGAGTGTTTATTTTATAGCATTTTAGGTGTTTGTTACTTGATATCCCAGGTCTGGTTGCACTTGGTGCGAGTTCTGGCATAATGGTTACATGTCGGAAACCACCACCTCTATGACTTTATCAAGGGGATAGTTGACCGTTGCTGATGGAGACGCGGTACAGTCTTGGTGGCTGCGTTATGCTTAAAGTGTTATTTCATCCTGTGTGAAACGGGCTAAGGTCCAGCCACTAGTCACCGCTGACCGGTGCACGCGATCAGCAATCGTAGCAGCCGATCTTTTATGATTTCATTACTCCCATACGTTCCAGCGAGTGACGAGACCAAGTATTCTCCTCATTTCTATTACTTCACCGTCAGATTTATCCAATATCACCACTACAGAAGCTGTAGTTAAGAAGTTGTTATTTCTGCGTATCCACAGTTCTCCTGGAGTCGACAGCATTCGGTCGAAGGCTCTGCAGGCAGCATCCAGTGAGCTAGCAGAAACACTGGCCGTTTTCTCTCTGCATTGTTAAGAGAACCAAAGTTCACCAGTATAGTGGCCATGAGTCATCGCTGCTATTCATAAGGAAGGTAGTTGCACTGACCCAACCAATTACCTTCCAGTAATGCTGCTTCCTCTGCTTTCTAAAGTTATGGAATCAATCATCGCAGATGTGCTGACGCAGTAGCTGGAAAACCGCAACATGGTTTCCGCAAACCGCTCAAATACTACGAACCTATTTATCGCACGCAATAGCTAGACTGAAGTAGCTGGTGGTGGAGCGGGAATCGATGTCATCTTCCTGGACTTCTCAAAAGCCTTTGATCGCTTAGACTATCGAATTCTACTTCATAAGCTCCGGAACTATGGCATTGATGACCCAATCCTTGGTTGGATTGACACTTTTCTACACGAACGTCGGCCGGAATTGAGAGACCACAAAACTCTTTTCGAGGCCATTGATGTGGAGTACGGTGTACCACAAGCCTCGGCGCTAAGGCCTCGCCTATTCTTCGTTTTCATAGACGATCCAAGTTCCTGTGCTTAACAGAGGATATCATATATGACGAGAAATTAGATGAACGGGCGATCACGAAGGACTCTAGTGCGATCTTAACACGATATCAAACCGGTCAGTTCAGAATGCCCTAGCATGCAAATTGGAAAAATCTCGCGTTGTTCAGTTAAGACATTGGCAGGAGTACATTTAAAGGATTGGGGCACACAGATTGAAGATCGACTCCGAGGACCGTGACCTTGGTGTGCTCGTTCAAAGTGACCTCATCTGTACAAAGCAGGTTGAGGCAGAACGTCCGCCTGATGCGGTGTGTATTCTGAACTTTTGACATATCCATCTTCCCGATGATGTAGGACGCTTACATACACCTTCGCGTTGAATACGCCATCCAAGCCTGCCAACCCTGGTTGAAGTGCGACCTAGAGGTGCTAGCCTCACCACAACGCAGGTCAGCAAAGAATGACAAGGGCCTACTCAATCACTCTCATCGGCGAAGGCTGAAGTTGCTGGGAGTTATCAGTGGACGCTACCGAAGGCTACGCAGCGATCTCATATTACTGTGTCAAATATTGTGTGTCCTTAATCATTTATCCCGCCATTTGCTGAAACTTAAGCAAAACACTAAGCTCATAGTTAACTGCCTGAAACTGAGTAAACAATACAGCCGTCCATAGGGTGTATGGAATTACTTTCCTCTTCGGGTTTGCCAACCATGAAACTGTCTCCCAAACTTCGTTGTATCCTCCCTCTACTTTAGAGATTTTCATAGAGATTGGATGTTGCCCTTTTTCCCAGCACTTCGTGAGCCAAACTGCGCTACTGTGAATCACACTTGTCATGCTCTTTTACCGGTTTTATGTCTCACATGGACCATAGGAAGCGACGTATGAGTGAGCGACCATATCCTGTTTTTTCTCATGCCTTACGTCAATTACCACTGCGTCTCATGTTGTTCCCTATGGATACATCCAATTTTTAGTTTACTTATTTTATATATTTTACCTATAGGATAATTTGACTAGGGATACGCTCGATAGATAACTCACATACCTTTTGATATTTTTACTATTTAACCCAACCATCCTAATGGACTTGTCAGGCATTTGCTTTTTAACCCGTGATAAATCATTGTTTATTGTATGTCTGGTATGCACGTTTCCCCATGTGCAAATGAATGAATGATATTCAATTTGAAAGTGTGTACCGGCTCCGAATCAATGTAGCTGCCATCTACGTACCTCACAGTCTTTTTCTTTCGAGTTTACCCTGAGTATGGGGTGTGTGTATTGAGCTGTGGGTGGTGCAGCGCAAGCCACCCATGGTATGCGCGGGCTTCCGGTGGATGTACACACTCGCAACGATAGGGAACTCCGGAAACGATTCCACTAACCACATATATAATCAGCAATTCAGATCTACTGTTCATCATCTCCGCTCCTCCAGCATCATCGTCATAACGTCTCTCAGGTCCAAACGCCAACTTCAGTCCCTTCCCTGAGCTTATCCTGGGGGTGTATTTCATTCGACAGATAAGCGACGGAGACATTATTAACATTGTTTTTGAGGTCGCTGTTGTAACGCATGTAACAATAAGAAGACCGATCTATTATTTTTTACACTCCTGGTTCTGCACAGTTGGGGCGCTCGTGTGTAATTCGATGCACAGTTTCAACTGCGTTAGTGACGGAGCGTGGTATCTTAGAATTGACATAATGGGTACAAAAGTAACCTGTTGTCGTTGACATAAACGGGGCAGACACAGCTGACTGGAACGGGATAGCCAAGACATCAGTAACTCAGAGTGTGCTGCTACTTTGGCATCGCAACTGAAATCAGGAGCTGTTGTCTTCAGGTGGTCGTCTGACACATATACTTTCACCTCATGCCTGTAATGGGAAAAGGAAAGTGGACTGAATTTAGAACAGTTGGCCGCTTTTCCGAATTAGTAATTATGCGCGTCACCGTATACTCACTCTGGCTTACTTTATCCTTAATCGATGAACCGTTCACTACCGTTGTTTCGTCGGTAGCTTGTTCTACGGGCCGGAGCTTATGACCTTGTGGCCGTAACTTCGTGGCAGTGTTAGCCTTGAATGAGATTTCGGACTTCTAGGTGGCAGGAATATTTCGGGCTTTTTTTAATACTTGTTATCTAACCACTGTCAACCAATCTCGTAAGTCCGGTCTATAACCTAACTTAAAAACTCATGAATGCTCCTTCTAAATGCCCTGTGTTCTTTATTTTTAAATTCGCTATGCTTCATCGGATTCCGCCACTTTAACCTAAAATGCAACTAGCGTATCCTCGTTTTATATCACCCTGGATGTAAATACGGACCAAGTCTGTATGTTGTTCCATCGAAGACGTATACATGTACCTCACTACTGAACATTGCACTCGTGATAGGCTTGGAACTTTGCGTTATCACCCAGGCACATGGTATGGTCAATACAATGTATTTAGTGATATTGTTGGAGTAGAGAATCACAAATAAGAAACCTTAACAACATTTTACTCGCCGAAGGTTCGGATTCAAGTTTCCTTGCACACCGAACGTTAACGGTTGGATTGACTTAGTTTGTTCCATCATAACTTTGAGCTGTCTTCCTCCCGATAGTACCTACTTACCGGGTTTGTTGATGTGTAGTTTATCTTGTCTAGACACGCATCTTTGGCAAACACAATCAACCCAGATAGTGCCATGAACCACGTACATTTCTTCTGAACCAGCTTGACACTGACGACCTTGTTTTGCAAACTACCACGCCGGAAATCGAGCTGACAAAACAACCAAATTTCACCAAGGTTGGGCACATAACACCCAGAAGGGTGAATCAGTTGCACTGTTGGCTTTGATGGCTGGTGAATCGTTTTTCCATAGTTCATTTGGAGGCCAGCTAAGTGCAGATCTATTATCACATCCTGTTGTGGAAAACACGCCGACAATCGAATGGGATCAGCTCTCGTCAGTCTAACACTCATAGACGAAGCATCATTTTCACCCACCATGTTAATTTGTAACACAGCGGAGGTAAGTCAACTAAATATGTACACGTAAGTTACCGAAGCCAAGATGAATTTGAGGCGAAGATACTTGTTTAACTGAACAGGGGGTGTTTTTTTCACTTAACAGGTCTGTTATTTTTCTTGTTTTGGTATGCTCAGTTCGAATGAACTAGTGACACGATCTAAAAATGACCAAACCATAAAAACTGGTCCCAGACTATCTCGTATCGGTTTTTCTCGAGTTTCAAAGTGCACCGTATCATTAAATGGTAGGTGTGCGTTTGGCCGTACTGTGGTAGCGTGAACGTTGATTTGATGGATATACACAACTTCAGTGGCATCACTACACCAGGACTCTGAGTTTTGTACAACTTACCTGCTGGATCTGCCCACGTTCATATCCGCTTGATATTGAGGATTTGACCCCGTTTGTTGTTACCTTCGTGGGTTCTGTGGTGCAATGAATAAACGTTGAGAACGGTGTAGTTAGACCCACCAATCTATTCGATGCGTTATCTCACTAGCTATTGTGCAGTTCGGGATGGATTGTTTAGGTTTACTTGCAACACATCTTCGTCAAGGGCGTTGGTCTCTGTTCCCTAAGGTCAGAAGCATCACGCTAGCCCCGGTTATTTCCATCACTCTTTAACTATGAACAATATTAATGCCTTTGGATCGTGGGGCACTTTTAAAGCACTCTGTATGAATGGATTGCGGCTCGCAATCTGAATCAAATGAAGAGAACTTTGGTCGACTCTGTCACTGGGACTGCATCTGAACCATATGATTGCAAATACACGTACGAAACCGGTCTTGGCTTCCAATGTCGAGCGCGCACAACACCTAACCATCACCGATTTAAGATGGACGTTTTCTTTTATCTGGGATCTTGGACTTCAGTCATAGCTACCCTCTCGACTACACTATCCGTCGCGAACTTCTAAGGCTGAACAAAACACGGCACGTTTGTTTGGACTGCTAGCAAGAGTGTTGACTTGAATACAAACGGGTAGTCTATTACGGGTTGCAGTGACAGCGAATAGCCGATCGTGCATCCCCGTTTCCTTAGCACTTAGTGACTTGATTATATCTGAATGAATTTTACCTTATTAGGATTCTTACTACTATTTCAGCATTCTAGTGTAGTGTCTCCCCTAGTTGATAAAAATGACCGTCTCTAGACGCGTCATTGTTGTCTGCATAGGTGCTTCATTACGGCTGACCATGTCATCAAAGTTCTTTGTTATACCATTAAGAAACCGTGTGCATTTCAATTATGCGGTGGCAGCAGGCTGGCTATACAGGTAGGTAGCCATCGAAACTCACAGCAACTTTAGGGGTTACGGACGTTGGCCTGATAAGGGCGTTTCAACTGTGTCAGTGAGTCGGACTCATATCACCTTACCCTTCCACAAATCCAACATTGCGTTCACGGGAAGCTGCTTCCTCACCGAGTCTTCTGGAAACACCTCCGAGCGCTGAATCATCTGGTACTCGCCACTCATGTACTGCCCCTTGAGGTTGTTGAGTGACTGTATCTGCGATTTTCGGTTTTTCATCCATCTATCTGAAAGTAGTGGCGAATCCTCCCGGCAATCGATCCATTCTTGGCTGTCACCACAGTGGTTATTGGCCTGTTCAACCCAGGAGTTTACATTCTCTGGCTCACGTTTGCCGGTTCTGGTCAGGCGCGATGGAAATACGTTCTCGTTTTCTGGTTTACGTTTCTCGATATTGCTTCCATCAGACACCAGGCAAGATATTTGATGTTTTTCTCCCCATGGACGGATGGCATCCATTCCAGCTATTTGCCTCAGTCTTTCTGCCATGGCACTGTCGCTCTGTGAAAAAAATAAATTTCTTTTAGGGGACGCACGTGACAGAAAAAAGCAACACATACAGAGCGGTGGCATTCCTTTCACATTGTCAAGATACGAAGCGTCCCAAACGATACTCTAGTTTTCAGTTGAGTCGCTTTCAGTGGGCTTTTCGTTGGGACCCTAGGTCAAATATTATCACTGGCGTGTGCGAATTCGTTCATCTTTTTAGCCAGTTGTACCACTCGTCTATATGAGAAAACACTTCCCTGCATTTTCGGTCCCTTTTTTACCCTGGGGTATGTGCAATGCAAGGGTGCAACCAAGTGGAACTTTGCGTATTGGGGTACTTCTGCTTGGAAGCTGTAGGGGTGAACACAGTCTTTCTGTTCTTTATCTAGATAAATCAAGTTATCTATATGATGGCTTAACTAGCCGTGCTTTAAGTTGGTCTATAAGAATGAAAAAAATTATGAAGCGATAAAAATAGTCTTTTTAATTCTGAGGTCAAATGTTCCTTCTATGATCCATTTTCACCACTCGTTACCACGGTGCTTGTTTATCGTTTTTATCATTCAAGTGAATGTGTCTTGTTAAAGCGCTTTTGTTGGTTAGTGGAAATGATTATTTTGCTTCAACATTCCACCATGGAACTATTGTGATCGAATCCCACTGATCTCAAAAATACCATGTACAGTGCGACATTTTAGTGGTCTTTGCTCTCGATAAGACTTGGGAAGAATTGGTTGGTGGATTTTTTGGATGACGTTACATCTTTGACGCACTGTTGCATCATACCAAGTGGACTCGTAGCAAATAAAAACGATAGCCACCATAACAGGGGTGCCACTAAAACGGTTAACTACGCTTCAGTGTCGTATCTGCGCTTAGGGAGTGCATTTGGGATGTGAATGCTCCAGGTGACCCACTGTACATCTTGTCATGTACCTGGTAGCCCTGCTCTGTCTACGTTTGCCACACCCTTGACCGTGGCAATATTCATCGCCTCACCGCTAAGCACTTGTTTCTTCTGGCAGCTTCAACGAAAAGTTCGACATCTTCCCAGTGTGTTTCGCATGTCTATCACTGTGCTTTTAATAGCACCACATTTTCGTGCTCGCTCTATGGTGGCCGTGTGATACGTCCCACAACTCTTGCTCGCAGCTCCCTCTAACCTCGGTCTACATGGACCGGTTGTCATCATGTGCGTGTACTTTGCAAACGAAGATGGTTGTTCTAGCCTTAAAGGCACCAGTGTAGCACGTAGGGTCATCCTTTCGCACAACTACTCCGATTTCCCCACACTCAGTATCCTTTAAATAGATTCTGAAATTACTTTCGTATAAGAAACTTCTGCAAGCCCTCCAGCCGATAGCATGCACTGGATACATGTGTTTCCATAACCATAGTGTGTTTCCATAACCACTTCGGAAATCTGGGACACAGAAGGTTAGCTTGTACTGGCTATATTCAGGTTCACATTCAGGCAGAACTTTTATCTTACAAGGTCTCGCCTGATACGAAGCCTAATTGCATGCGATGTACAAGAATTTTAAGCGACCAAAAAATTAATGAAGTTTTCCTGACGCAACCAAAAGTAAAACAGATCCTAAGTTTGCAACTACATGATGAAGGATAGCTTTAGGAAGGACCACATTTATATGCAACACAAAGAGCACGAGAACCATAGGTCGAAGAGCAAAATCATTTCAACACAACAGGAAGGAGGTGATATGCGGATAAACTGGGAAGCAAATATAAAAGGTGCTAAATAGAGATTATCAGGGAAAATGATTTTTTCGAGTGTTGCCAGACTGAACTTGTATGGAAGTTAAACTAATCTCATTTTATGAATTCCATAAAACCAGTCTCATATGTGTAAGCAACAGGCTCATTTTGCATCCCTTTTACATAAACTTTGTGCACATGCGATTGATTAAAAAGTATGCCTACTCTATAAGTTCTTTGTTGCATTTTATTTCCATCTCTACTCAAAGCCTACTCTCCGTTAGCTTTCTACACTCATCCACTGATTTCTTTTTCCTGTCTACAACTAGCGATCGATTACAAATCTTTTCTTTACGTTTGATTGTTCTGAAGTAATGAACCATCTCATTCCAAAAGCTTCACTTGGTCGTAATTTACGGTAAAGAACCTATAACTGCAGTAATATTGTAGCTTGCTTTTTACTTATATTTAGTGTTCTCTATTCCTAACAAAACCCTGGTCGGAGTATACAATTCTTTGTCTCAAAATCCATGTACAATTGTCGTTATTCGCAAAGCTTTTCCATCAAATTGTGGTTGATCTATTTTCAAATCACTATACTTATTCGGAGGTAATTCATCACAGTCCACTCTCAGTCAGCAGACTTTGGAACGTCTGGAAAAGCACCGGAAAGCGCTGTTTCGAGCTTCTGGATCTCGTCAGCGGTGCACCTTCCTCGGACTCCTGCAGGGTTCCGACCCCATGACTTCCGGATGCCAGCAGTTTGTGCCATTAAACCATGGGTGACCGTCGCTGACCTGCATGCTTGTCGGTTAGCAATGAGATAGCCCGGCTTAGCTTCCACTGCCATGATGCTTATGAACTGTGCAGATGACAGACGTTAGCCCCACGAGCTAAGACATTTCGTATAGCGACTGTGTACCACACGGCACCTAGAAGCTGTACGGACGGAACTTTTAGAGTACTAACGAGTAATGTGGATTTTAGTATTCCTCATACTTCCTCGTATCTCATATTCCTTATTATTACATTGCTGGCCATGACGACCGATCTCCTGAGGTGACGCATTGAAGCTTCCAAGCTAAAATTATACCCATGGAGCGATTAATTATGAATTACTGTGTACTGTCATCTAAAACAAAGGGAAGCGTCATGCTCAAAATCGACGAACGATGGATCGGGATTGGTGGTCTGGTCGCTCACAACGTATGCGTAAAAATAGTAGCCCTAAAATATGATAAACAGATGATGACTCGCTTGCAGTATTGCCGCACCGTCACACAACCAGATAGGTCATATAATTGCAGCTGAAACCATTCTAGAAAATACACTGCATGGAAGCCGGTCCTCTAAAAGACGGTTCCATGGATGGCCGTATTACTACTTGGACAATTGTTTAAATCTACGTTTAATATTGCTTTCAGTTTCTTAATCATTCTTATGACTTTAAATTTAAAGGCAGTTTGGGACTCATTGTATAATCCGTGAACAATTACCTGTTTTCTGTGACCTATGTAAAGATTAACCAGACCACTCAATTGGACTGTGCCTCGCGCCGTCGGAAAATATGCACATGTACCTTTTAGGCAACTTGCATATTTTTTCGTGCAACGGTCCGCTAATTATGGAACAGATGTGGATGATCCCTATGGAAACATGCTTCCTTCAACCTGGACCTCAGTTGAGTGACCCTCTGTCTTTTAGCGTAAGATATACCGCTTTTTTGTAATGTTTCCCTTTTCTGTGTACTAGGTCGCCAACGCGACCTTCGAAATTGCTCTTTTCTGTCCATTTCCCCAATCAGCAAATCTTGCCTACGTAGCATATGTACTTTTTGATGGATCTTCTCGAACTCGTTTGCGTTCATCGTTACTATTAAGGAAAACATTTGTAATCCCACAGTGAGGTCCTGCTAATGGCGTGCAGAATGGAATATTATTTGCTATAGAGCACTCCAAAAGCGGTGTAACTCTCCCGATTATTTGCATGACACTTATTTTTTGCTTTCCGTGGACCATCGTTCTCCTTTGTAGCAACCCAAAAGATATTTCTTATTTTATGTACCAATTTGTTACTCGATCGTACATTATTTTTGTTTTAGCGCTGACCCTACGACTATTTTTACCGACGTCCGGCTCATCACTTATGTCCACGGTGAGTTCCGACACTGACGTACGCTGTCGTCGCTTCATCCATTTTTGTCCGGTTCTAGCCTTCCTCGATTACAAACTTTTGTGTATTGTTCCGGTTTTCTGGTATCCGTACCAGAGCAAGGACACTCTCGAACTAGTATATACTAGTCCTACACCTTCACTAACACATTATTACTTCCTCACTCCTCCGTTTGGTGTGCTTTGAGCAATGCGATAACGACGGAACCGACTAGTGGCTTATACAGCTCGATGTTCAGACCTGCCACCCTTCGTGTAAGTTTAGGGGAGATCCTGCCTAGAAACTTTTAATCTGCTTGTCCACAGTTTAAGAAAGCAGGACAGATATTTCGCGACGTCGTGCATTGGGAAACTTATAAAGTATACTTAGCGTCAAATAAGAGACTGGGCATGTGTCTTACGCGGATCGACTGCGAGTAGCGCCCTCCTCTAGGTCATTTTTGGCTGTGTTGGCAAAATCACCTTGTGTTGGATTTCTTCGTTCATTGGAAGAATTTTGTGGAAATCTAGATACAATTCAGTTTCATTTTTGATTCTGAAAATTTCGACCATAAATACTTGTGTTTTCACCGCTTGGTTTCGGGGATATTGTTATCACCATTTTCTCCAGCAAATGGTCGCCATCTTGTTTTCGGATTATTCACCATGCCGAAGCAGTCACCCTGTGGTACTTGTTCCAAGCTAGTCAGGTACCGTGCAAATGTTCTCACGTGTGTATTGTTCCAAGTTAAATACCACATTTCATGTGTTGGATTATCAGTTGCGTATTTTCATCTTCTTCGTGAAACCCAACACCATTTCGTTCAAAGTTTATGTGAAAATAGCCGAAAAAGATACAGACAGGTAGAGTAAAGCCGACGTGTAGGTTTCATCATTCCGTTGCGAACAGCTCCGTGTGTTTGGCCCAACAACTTAGCCCGAATAACCTTCAGTTTTCAACTCAGTCATCCTCCTCTACCCGTGCAAACTCACCGGCACGAAGTCCAACCGTTGTGAGAAGCCCAGTTTCACCTGGTATAAATTGTTTACCTTCGTTGTGTCTAACGAGCACGGATGTTCCAGCAGGTGAAAGCCTGAGTACTGAAGACCAGTGGAAAGAACAAAGAACGAAATTACGAAGGAATG